AACACGGTTATTTGGGTAGTAACCGATTTGTTTTCCAAACAAGCACATTTCATACCTTGCTCTAAGATTCCTTCTGCAAAATCGTTGGCTAAACTATTTATACTACATATCTATAGACTACATGGCGTTCCTGAACGTATAATTTCTGACCGAGGGGTTCAATTCACCTCGAACTTTTGGAGGGAGTTCCTGAAGTTAATAGGCTCCGCCCAGGGCTTAAGCTCTGCCCACCATCCCCAAACCAATGGGGCCTTTGAGAGGACTAACGCAGTGCTAGAACAATACCTTAGATGTTACATAAATTATCAACAGGATAATTGGGCTGACTTATTGCCATTTGCCGAAGTGGCATACAACAATTCTGTACATAGTAGTACTGGATTTACCCCCTTTAAAGTGGCGTCAGGACAAGATTTTGTACCCATACCTGAGCTTCCTCGTGAAAGGCCTAACATCCAGTCATTAGACGAATGGATATCTCAACTCCAACTTAATTGGCCAGTTGCTTGTAAAGCATTAGATGAGGCACATCAATCTCATTTGCAGATAAAAAGAGAACTCCACAGAAACCTTATCAAGTGGGTGACAAAGTTTTCTTGTCCACCAAATACCTACAAACCACTCAAAAGTCAAAGAAACTTGGTCCTAAATATCCTTTCACAATTGAACGGATCGTAAATCCTGTGACAGTCCAATTGAAACTACCAAAAACTCTTCGACGAATCCATCCGGTTTTCCATGTTAGCTTGTTAAAACCTGAACACACTTCTGGTCTGAGACCAACCCAGACTGATCCTCCTATACCATTGCTGATTGAAGGTGAACAACATTTTGAAGTTAAAGAAATTCTGGACTCTCGTAAATGGAGGGGTCAGCTCCAATACCTCATAGCTTGGAAACATTTCCCTTCTTCCCAAGCTGAGTGGGTCTATGAAAAGGATGTTAGAGCCCCTAAGCTGATCAAAGACTTTCGCACAAAGTATCCTGATAAACCCTAGAAATGATTGTTAATTAGTATCTTTTATGTTTCTTTTTCTCTTGCAGGACTAACGTCTTTTTTTCTAGGAGGGCCGAATGTCAGCCTTCAAGATCTTCTACTACTACTTTGCATCTTTTGGCTGCCATAAGTAACGGGGGGAGGAGGGGGCAATGTCTGGGAAGAGAGCTGGAGGTGTTACATTCTTGTGTTATGTAAATGAGGAGAGGGGGAGTATAAATTCCTGCTTAGGTTTCTATTTCTCGCTTAGCTTTCTTTTCTCTGTGCAGCTGCAAATCTTTATCAAAATATGCCAAGGTCAACGGACAGAGACCTCATCACCATCTGAAGATGTCCACATGATCATATTCACAACTTTTAATTGGAAGAATCATTTGAACTATGGGGGGTGGGAACAACTTCATCACTTTGTATATGTGATCTGCGCACCTAATTTCTCAGATTTAGAATTCTACTGATGCTACCACTTCATTTTCAGTAAAAGATATCTTTTCTCTAATCTAAAGAGTCTAAGTATTTCTTTCTTGAATTTTGAATGGAGCACCACCTGACACCCAGAGAGCTAAACTACAAACATGGCGGTTTGCTTAGTTTTTTTTTAAAAAAATAATTGCTTATTTATTTATCTTTTTATCGTCTGTAACCTGCCTACCCTATCAGAGAGACGGACGGCATGTCAATTTAATAAAACTAATAAATACTGGTAGTCTTTGACTTACGACCATAACCAAGGTCAAAATTCCTGTTGCTAAGCGAGATGAGTGAATTTCGGCCCATTTCTACACCTTTCCTTGCTACGTCCCTCAAGTGAATCACTGCAGTTGTTGAGTGAGTAACCTGGTTGTTGAGTCTGGCTCCACCCTTGACTTTTGCTTGTCGGGAGATCGCAAAAGGGGATCCCAGGAATTCGGGACACTGTAACTGTCATAAAGACGAGTCACTTGCCAAACATCTGAACTTTGACCAGGTGACCAGGGGGAGGTTGTAACTGTCGTTAAGTGTGAAAACCCCCAAGCCCTCCTCCTCCCCCGCCCCGCTCACCAAGATGCTTTTGTAGAGGGTGCCGTTCTGCAGCGCCATGCTGACCCGGATGATGCAGCAGTCCGAGGGGGAGGCACCGCCCTTGTTGGGGGCCTGGGGGTAGACGGAGCCGCAGGAGGCCGAACGGCGGTGGCCCTTGATGAAGCCGCACCCCGTGGTGGGGAGAGGGGCCAGGCCATCCCCGGGGGAGGACGGGGGAGACATGTCCAGGGCTGAGACAGAGGGCCACTTGCCCTGCGGGAGACAGGAAGGGAAGTGAGGCAGCGGGGACCGGCACTGGGTTCAGGAGAAGGGCCCCGGGGGGTCACCAGGGATACTGGCCTGGGGCCCTGCTGCTTAAAAAAGGATTCCCTGGTCTCTCCGTCCTGGGGACCTCCTTCCTCCATTTTCATCCTCCTCTTCCTTGGCCTTCCTTTCTTTGGCTCCTTCCTCCTCTTTCTTCTCCTTCCTTTCTCCTCCTCCTCCTCCTCCTCTTTTCTTCCTATTTCCTCCACCTCTTCTCTTTCCCCTCCTACCCCCTCCTTTTCCCTTCTTCCTCCTTGGTTCTCCTCCTCTTCTCTTCTTCCTCCTATGCCCTCCTGTTCCCCCTCCTTTACCCTTCCT